TCAGGTTATTGGGCCGCAGCGTCGCAGACATATGCTGCCCCGTGGCTGCCGAGTACAGTGGCCACACTTGCGTGATGCACCGGACAGTACAATCAGTTTCGGATTTAAATATCATCAAATTATTCAGACCGGCTTCCAAGCACAGATTATATTATGGATACTATTTAGTGGATATAATTCATAATAAATTATTTTAATAACCGTTATTAGTTCGGGAAGAAATCGTATTTGTACAGAATAACATAGAAACTATCACCATTTATTAGATATAGTAATACTGATACCATATACTATAGAATTTCGACCTTTTTTTATTGATCTATGTAATTATAAAAATGTTATCGAAATTGAGGATATAAAAAGCAAACATGAGTGTCGTAGATCACTTGGTCCAACCAAGTATATAAAATTAAAAATAAACTTAAGTACAATTGAACAAAACGCAACTACAAACAATACGCTACGAAACAAGTGACAGTTCTGAAGGAAAACGTAAGAACAAACTGGTTTCATCCATACAAAATTTGACAAGTACGATACGATTAAAGATCTGTCAAAATTGGTGCTTGGCCTCTGTATTCTACGATACCGGGTACGATTTATATTTTTTCTTATATATATAGAGAACACAGAGACCAAGCACCTTTTCTTGTATAAAAGAATATAACAATATTGGTGCTGAAACGGTTAAAGCAAAGTTTGTATTCACGAACGAAATTATTTCATACTAGCGGCCGCCCGCAACTTCGTCTGCGGTTACCTATAGTTTTATTTTGGGGAATCAGACAGGAATCTGACCTTTTCAAGGGATAAAATGTATCTTACATCTCAATCCAGATCCTAAACTATATGTGTAACAAATTTCAATCTAATCTATTCAGCAGTTACTGCGTGATTGAGTAACAAACACAAAAACATACAAACTTTCACATTTATTATATAAGTAGCATTAAATTTACACATTGTTTTGAGTCGGGGTCTGATACTTTACCTAAAACAATGCACTTTTAACAGTGCGGATAAGGTGAGTATCCTACTTCCTATCCATAAAATATTATAAATGTGAAAAAATGTAGGTTTGTGTGTTTATTATTCAATCACACAAAAACTACTGAACGGTCTTGGATGAAACTTGGTATGCATTTAGTTGCATGACCTAGATTGAGACATTTGTTTTTATCCCGCAAATTGTAAGTTATCTTTTGGATTTTGGAAAAACTAAAAATAACGTGGACGAAGTCGTGGGCAGCCGCAAGTATTTAATTTTTCTATCCTCATTTCCCTCAGAATACAATAGTTTTGTCACCCTACTGCGCTTCGTGCTCAGAATAATTGTGACCAATGTCGATTTTATAGAGTCCACGCGTCCCGAATGTTTTATTTATTTGCCTTTCTACGCCATTGTATATTTATAGTGTGAAAGCCAATCACAATTACCCATGAGTACTAGAGGCATTTTAATATTAATGCTCAATAGAGAATCATTTTCAACTGTCAATCAAGAGACTCGAATTTGGTACGGAGGTTCGTTATAATTCGTTTGTTCTAGGAGTGCACTAAGAAAGTATATTGATTTAAACTTTCATGGTCACTAACATTATAGTATATACATTATAGATACCCGTACCACTGTAGTGAGAATGTGAACATTAGTACGGGTACCGAACGCAACAAAAGACTTCGCCGGAGGGTAGACCGATATGTCTGCCAATAACAGCCTACCCGCAATTACTTCAGTTACTCCGTGGTCATGACGCTTGCAATAGTGCCGAAATATCGGAAACTCGCTAAAAACAAGGTACATTGTAACAATTCCGTAAATAACTTATATTACTATAATGCACTAAGAAAGATTTTTCAAAATTCACCCCCTTAGCGTTTAAAATAGGGAATGAAAGTTTGTATAAAAAATCTTATTCCTTGAGTTTAAGAGACTTGAAACTTGGCACGAATATTTATCTAAATTAAAGTAACTAAATTTGGAGATTGGAGATTGACGGAAGTTTTTTTAAAAATGATTTTTACCGCGCATTTCGATTAACTCTAAACTCAACATTTATACTTGAGACCTGAAATAAAGAATAAGGGTTTTTTAAAAGGGAACGGGGTGAAAATATGTGGTAATTTTACTGCGGAGTATTTTACTGTGGGGCTCGATTAAATCGGAAACGGCCGTACGTATTTGGTTGAAAATTGGCACATCAACAGCCTATCGTAGTCCACTGCTGGACATAGGCCTCTCCAATTGCACGCCACTCAGATCGATCTTGGCCTACTCGCATCCAGCTCCTGCAAATGCTGCGCAAATCGTCACTCCACTGTGCCTGAGGACGTCCTACACTACGTTTGCCTAGACGCGGTCTCCAATCCAGAACTCGTCTACCCCAACGGTTATCGGTTCTTTGGCAAATATAGCCAGCCCACTGCCACTTCAACTTGCTAATCCGGTGGGCTATGTCGATAACTCTGGTTCTCTGTCGGATTACCTCATTTCTGATGCGATCCTTCAGAGAAATTTGACACACGTATAGTTTATTGCCTTATTAGTATATAATATAATAGTACTAACCTACAACAGGGGTGCTGACGGGGTAAGGTAAACGAAATTTTATTTGATTATCATAAAACCAATGACGTATATAACTTTATTGCATTTTAAAATGGCACATGTAGTCCCCGCCCCAACTTCCCTTGGCAACAGACGCCAATTGCTTCCTCTAAAGTAGTCTCACTCTTTAGCCTCCACGTAAGAACGGTGTCAGCAACTGTCAAAATAAGTAATCACTCAATATTTTTACATTGATTTCTTTAAAACTGTATTTAAGAAATGAAATGACAAGTTTTTCTTGTCTCTAATAGTTTCCGTGTAATTTATTACTATATACAAACACACATAGGGCTTTTTGTCTGAAAATTAAATATTTACACATTGTAGCGAAATTTATCCGCGTCGAGGGAGCTTGCCCGACTGAATGCAAGTCGGGCAATTACCTGACTTTCGTATTGTCAAATTAGAAGCGTGTATGACTTATCTTTTTTTTAAACCACGATATTTATATGACAACATATGAATTGGAAACACAATGCTCGTACGCAACATAGCATATGACAAGCCACAATAATAAAAATTCCCCAAGATACTCAAAATGTGTCCCAATCAAGAAGTGCTTGAACACCACTCAAGCACTTCTTTGTTCACAGTCACGCGCGGACCGTTAAAAAGTAAAGATGCCGCGGAGCTCCGCGAAAAATACGAAAACAATACATAAAGTACTTTAAGTGTCGTTTTTTCGACAGGTATTTTTATAATTTAACGCTTTTGTTCTAGTACTAAAACTGATTTAATAGAGAATATTTGTGATATTCAAATGGATGGTCGGTAATATAGCCGTTTCTTTTCCTCGCGGTCCGTAACTGCTATATTGCTAACAGCGCATTCAGAATTGCGCGTAGAGACAAAGAAATAAGGTAAAGTCTGTGCGGAAAGAGAATGGGATTTAGATTGGAGGGCGCTGTAGTGCTTTTCTACCGTATTTGTTAGGTTTTACCCCTTTTAGACATGATTAAATACAAAAAACCACAAGAAATCACAACAACAAACAAATCCGTATCAATAGAAAACTTTAACGTTTGACAGATTGCTGGGTTGGATTGCCAAATAAAAATCTTAATGTTAGTTCCGATTTTCGCCACGCCCATTCCCTTTCCGCACATACTCTACAGACCTTATTTCTTAAGAATATAGCAATGTCGTAAAATTTTACTAGCTTGTATTTCGAACTGTCGTATCTCTTTGACGCATGCGTTTTATTAGGACCTTATACAAGATGCATTAAAGGTGACTTTCAATGTTTAAATAATGCCTTATATTGTTTTTGACTACGCGATCATCTTACGACTTATCATTGATCGTACAATGTACCTTTTGGACAGGTTTCGGCCACGATTTTGTTCGTGTTGGTGTATCTATGGTATTTAATATCGTTGATTACAAATGTGATTCCAAGTCATATGTTTCCATACAAAATTCATAATATACATGTCATAATGCGTAGCATACGCTGCGTTCGAGGGCTCAGTTTATCCCTTTCTAAAACATCGTAGCATAAAACACTTATTTTTTCCTTTGTCAATCTAACAAAAAATTACAAAGATAAAGCGCGTCAAAGTTTGGAAGTGGGGGCTCGTGACGTCATTTTTAAGTAATAATTGTACCAAAAGTGAATATTTGTATTAATATGAATTATTTCACTCGGACTTCATAAATAAATATACTTTCTCTTAACGACCGTGCGTCAAACTTACTCGTATTCTAGTGAAAATTTCTCTGGGTAGCGAATCCCGTCTAATGCCTGAACCGCGTGGGTTTTAAAGTAAAACTTTTACTACAACCCCACAAAGATTTTCCTTCATCTTATTCGCATTACATTTTGAATAGTTACAAAAAATATATAGAACTTATCAATAAGCTTCTTTTATTAACGATTTTTTAAGTTGCACCTGCATCGTGGTTACATAAAGTTCTTTATGATATATGAACCAGCATGGCCACTATTTCCATGCGAACAAAGAAATTTGGTGACTTATTGCTTTGTCGCACTATCCGCAAATGGAATGCCTTGCGAGCCCACGTCTTCCCTTCTTCCTATAACCAGAGATCCTTTAAAAGAAGCAATAATGCAGGTGAGGATGGCTGGTGTGGCAGGTAGAACTGCTGCACCAGTTACCTTCTCACCTGGACTCCACCGTCGCTTAATTAACACCAGCAGACGTTCAGTCATCTAGCGGAGATATTTATGAAAACAAACCTTCTCCTTATAATTTTTATTATTTTAAAGCATGTAACTGCTTGATGTTTAAATCTAAAGAAAATATAACTAGAAAAAAATCCACGCGGACCAGGCAGCAGACGGGACTCGAACCCGCACCCTTCGCAATCCGGGCGAATGCACTGACCAAAACCTTCTCCTTCTTAAACTGGTAATATCTAATTGTTGCAGCTGCATTCCGAGTACCGCAGCACGTACAGATGGCACGAGCACAAGGAACAGCAGCAACAGCAGGGCGTGGTCAAGCAGCCGGCGCCAACCCCGCCCAATGTGCTGCCACTTACCAGAGGTGAGCACTTTCGTATCCAGCTGTGTCGCAAAACATATCTGGAAAAAGCGTTACGCCTCCCTGAACAGCTGGGAGTAGCTCGAACAGCACAGAACACAGGGGTTACAATATGGCCACTGGTCGTCGTCGTGGTCGTGATCATGGTCGTGGTCGTTGTCATGGTCGTGGTCGTGGTCGTTTAGTACAATACGTGCCACGACCACGACCAGTGGCCACAACGAACAGATTAACTTTAGTTGGCCGTTGCGGTTAACAACATATCTGATGGCGAGGAATTAGACCGGATGTTAATTAAATCCGTTGCGTTTAAGTACGCAAAGTTCGTGTGGTGGTCGTGGTCGTGGCCGTTTAGTACAATACGCGCCACGACCACGACCAGTGGCCGCAACGACCAGATTAACTTTAGTTGGCCGTTGAGGTTAACAACATATCTGATGGCAAGGAATTAGACCGAATGTTAATTAAATCCGTTGCGGTTAAGTGCGCAAAGTTCGTATGGTCTATTTAGTTAATATGGTCGTTGAGGCTGGCTGACTGGCCGTGGTCGTGGCCGTCTAGTGCACGAAGTTATTCTCCCTTATCCCTCCATCACCTTTTCTTCGGAGGACCACGCGCGCAGGCCTACGTTGCCACCGACTTACTATGGCCACTATTCATACACGAACAAAGAAATTTGGTGACTCATTTCTTTGTCGCACTATCCGTAAATGGAATGCTCTGCCTGCTCACGTATTGCCTCCTTCTTCCAACCTGGGATCCTTTAAGAGAGGCGTGAAGAAGCATTTTTGCAGGCCGACAAGGTGACGATGGTTGGTGTAGCAGTTTATATCTGCTGTACCAGCTATCTTCAAGTTTGAACTTCACCGTCACTTAACATCAGGTGGGGTGGAATCTTTTGTCGGACCTATCTATAAAAAAAATTTAGTTGGTCGTTGCGGCTGGCTGATTGACCGTGGTCGTAGCTGCGCACTTGAGTGCGCGAAGGGATTAAGTAGGATTTCAAAGTAAACAAAGAAGTCCATTGTGGTAATAATCAAAAGAAAATCTTTTGAGTGTACAATGTCCTATAACAACATACATCTTAATATATATAAATCTCGTGTCACAATGTTTGTCCTCAATGGACTCCTAAACCACTGAACCGATTATAATAAAATTCGCACACCATGTGCAGTTCGATCCAACTTGAGAGATAGGATAGTTTAAATCTCAAATTATAGTCGCAATTTTAATTTATTGCAAATTATTACTTTTGGGCGGTACGAAGTTCGCCGAGTCAGCTAGTCTTAATATATATAAATCTCGTGTCACAATGTTTGTCCTCAATGGACTCCTAAACCACTGAATCGATTATAATAAAATTCGCACACCATGTGCAGTTCGATCCAACTTGAGAGATAGGATAGTTGAAATCTCAAATTATAGTCGCAATTTTAATTTATTGCAAATTATTACTTTTGGGCGGTACGAAGTTCGCCGAGTCAGCTAGTTGTCCTATAAAAACAAAACATGATTCATTGTTTGTACGTTTGCATGTTGCAATCTGGTCTTTTGTATGGTTATATTGTACTACAATGTCATTAGGACAGCAATTTTATACTGTAATCAACATTCGCAATAAAGATCAATCGTTATATATACGTAGTAATTTATGTTATTTAGACGACCTCCGTGGTCGAGTGGTTTGTACGCCGGGTTTCATGGTGTCGCAAGTCTCGAGAGGTCCCGAGTTCGAATCTCGGTGGGGGCAGATGTTTGTGTGATGAATACGAGCATTTGTACTCCAGTCATGGATGTTTAATATGCATTTCTTTATAAATATACTTATATATGTACTGTATATGTATTCTATCCGTTACCCTAGTATCCCATAACACAAGCCTTACAGCGCTTACTTTGGGGCTAGGCTAATTGGTGTGAGTGTTGAAAATATTTATTTATTTATTTACGGGATTGCTACAATGTACCTAGTTTTTAGCGAGTCTCCGATAGACCAATATATCTGCCAATAACAGCCTACCCGCAATAACTTCAGTAACTTCGTGAACATGGCGCTTGCAACAGTGCCGAAATATCGGAGACTCGCTAAAAACAAGGTACAAGGCAGCAATAACATAAATTACTATAATGTTAGTGAATAAAACGCGGACTAAAGTTAGTCTTGGTTTAAACCTAATGGTGTCTGTGTTGGCGCAGAATTTTGACACACGCCTGGTAGCACCAATACAGAAGAAAGCTGAAGACTAGGATGTGTGGACATTATTCTCTTTGCCTTCCCTAAAAAGGGAAAACATTAAAAAAAGGTTTGTCTGCTAGTCGTACTGCGCATTTTTCGGTGTTGCCAGACGCGAATCCAAATCCAAAATTTGCGCCAACATTCTCTTTCCTCCTTTTAGCAAAGAAAAGTGACAGCATCAGTTTTAGTCCAGGTTTAATTTCATTCTACGTTTTGTAAGGTGTTGAAAGTTTGAAATATTATTTGCTTTGTCTCAGGGCCCATGGAGCCAGCCATGCCGAGGCGCAAGAAGTACCCCGGCATGGCGTACAAGTCGAACGAGCTGTTCGAGCCCGCCCCCGCCGACGACATCCGCCCACACCAGACGTCCGCCTTCGATAGGGCAAGGCCGAGGGTGAGTGGTCTTATCAAGTAAGAAATTTATTAGCCTTAGATATCTTCCTCAAATCATTACCCTAGTATTATAGCTCATTTATCAAGTATTGGGAAATAATCACCTAAGACAGGGGCTGCGAGGATGAAATTCGAAGACGTTGCGCCATGACGTTGAGATCATCAGTGGAAAAACTCACAAAGATTTTGAGAGACCGAAGGATAAACAAAAACACAAAGGTTAAACTAATGAGATCCTTGGTTTTGCCAATCTTTCCATATGGAGCTGAGACGTGGACACTCAGAACGAAAGACCGTCGCAAGATTGACGCTCTGAGGCGTTTGCTACGAATTTCGTGGACCGTGCACCGTACCAACGTTTCAATCCTGAGGGAACTCAACATCAAAGAGAGATTATCGTCGACTCTGCAAATACGAATCCTCAAATTCTTCGGGCATATTACTCGTAATGAGAACTCCATGGAATGGTTGGTGGTGCAAAGGAAAGTTGAGGGCAGAAGGTCTCGCGAGCGCTCTCCGACACGGTGGACAGACCTTATTAAATCGACGACGCACTCTAGCTAGAGGATTCGATCCCAGTCGATTTTTCTAATCCCGGGATTTCGGGATTGCCTACAGTTCAACCCGGGATCCCGGGATAGTCCCGGGATTGTATTGATAATAGAAAGTGGTAACAAAAAGACAGTGAAACATATCAAAATCAATCCCGGATCCCGGGATCCCGGTCTCTGCCAAGAGTGCACGACTAGGTAGATTGTGAAATATTGCTTAAAGCTCCTTATATTACTAATTACAGTGTTAATGACTTTGACGCTAAAATAAATATATGACATTATAACTAGCTGTCCGCCCGCGGCGGCGCTTACCTACATGGTTTTTCTTATTTGCTATTTGTTAACGTTGCAATCTCTCATGTTCATTCCCTATATACTACTGTCAAGCTTGCAAATACAAATAACCATTTGATCAATAGGTCGCTGGTTCATATCCGGCTCGAAGAACCATTTGATGTATGATGCAGCGGTTAGTTGACCACTCTAACAGAGTGTACCATTAGATTATAAGATGAAGTTAAAGTTCTACGTTGTGTAGTAGTTGAAGGAAATCCAGTTAGAAATTTTCACTTCTTTATTGCTTAGTGCTTAGTTAGATGGTTACAGAAACACAGTTATTTTGCTACTAAAATTAAATACAATTTAATTGCTTAAGAAAACTATGTTATGTTTTTATTTATTTTCTAAAGAGAAGTTTTACAAGAAAAAAATCCACGCGGACCAGGCAGCGGACGGGACTCGAACCCGCACCCTTCGCAATCAGGGCGGATGCACTGACCAATTATGCTACCACGGCCGTGATGGCCGCGTCGAAATTTTCCTAGCCTTAAGCTGCAAGGCAGCGCCATCTCTTCGCATTGTAGGTAACACACAATTATTATAATTAGGTAGGTAACCCGGATTGCGAAGGGTGCGGGTTCGAGTCCCGTCCGCTGCCTGGTCCGCGTGTTTCTTTTCCAGTAAAACTTTTCTTTAGATTTAAACTATGTTATGTTATTTTTATTTGGAGGAGCATCGCTCTCCGCGAGACTGCTGAGAATGCATTTCACTAGTATAATACGTACTCAGAAAGTTTTGCGACGAAGCTCCACTTGCAGCAATTTTGATAAATATCGATTTATAGATCTAGATCAAGGTTTAGCCCATACAGAAATTTCAAAACGTCAATGTCATTTAACATTCTTGTATGGACTAAATCAGGTTTTAATTAAAGCGAGCTCGAGAGTGGACCTAACAGTTTTTGTGTACCGGATATTGGCTGGTTTTCATGTCAACTAAAGCTATGACAATTTCGCACAAAAAGCAAAACATTAAAATATTCTGTTCGACTAAAAAATGGTTTTATTTCATCACGACAACTCGCCGCGCCGGCTGACACAAAGCTGAACCAGCTTTGAGACCACAGAATTTCTGAACAGCACACCGGTAAAACTAATATCATACTGCTTCCTGATTTGGATCCCAGAGACTTATTTATTGTTCCCCTAAAAAAAATTAAATCAAGGGAAGCCAGTTTTTATGGTAATGAAAACTTCCGGTAGGAAGATGCGCTGACTGCATTGAGAAAGACGAGGAAAGCTATCTGATGCTTACTAGAAAATGTGTTAAATTGGTTTAGGCATATGAAACTGTGCATAGACGTCAGTGGAGAGTTCTTTAAAAAGATTAAGGTAAAAGAAATATGTAACGTACGTATTAGTGGGTTATATTATACGTATAATTATCGCTTTTGTATAATTTCGCAGCATCTGAGTTTTATGTGTTCTGTTGCCAGAGTTCTCAGCGAAATGAGACGGACCGCGCCGGGCGACGCAGCAAGTCTGAGGGTCCTCGTCAGCCCAGGTGGACTGATACCGTGGAACCCAAGGTTATTATGGTCTTTTTGTACGAAATAATTTATGACTCTGGCGCGCCTGCCCTGCCTACAAAGCTCTTCTGTGTTCTGTGGATATTATAGCAATGTACCTATGTTATTTACGGGAGTGTTACCACGTACCTTGCTTTTAGCGACTTTCCGATAGATCGGCACTGTTGCTTTACTGTAGTGGCCGTGACAATGTTAGTTTAAAACAATATATCATATGGATACGTCCTGAGTGCACTCACTTTAATGAAATGAAATGAATAACCTTTATTGGCCATCTTATATACAATAAAAAAAACGTAACCTAAGAACAAAAGATAATCATTAAAACTAAGACGGCCAATCGACGACGCTGCCTCAGCTGATGCTGACACATTGAGAGAATACTCTCTCACTTTATCAGCGCTGGTATTCTGGCAGGGCCTGTGCGAGGACGTGAAAGGCTAAAAATCAAACAAAATAATAGGTGTACTATAAAGTAATACCTAATCCTATATATAAAATTCTCGTGTCCCAATGTTAGTTACCATACTCCTCCGAAACGGCCTGACCGATTTTTATGAAATTTTATATGCATATTCCGTGGGCCTGAGAATCGGCTGCAAAATTCAAACTATTGGGTATTGTAACGTGTTCTCATATGGGTTAGGAGGAATGTTATAGGAAATTGATAGAACACTACGTTACACACCCCTAAAATTTTTTTTGGACAATATTTATTTTTTTATTACGTGGTATTAAAAAATACATACAACCCTAAATTTTCTTTTCTACTACCTGCCCCTATTTTTATGGCGGTACGAAGTTCGCTGGGTCAGCTAGTAATAATATAAATAAAAAACAAAAAAGGGCATTTCGACATTGTCATTTTTTGGAACTGTTATAAAATGAATACTTTAGAATCCTTGATGATCTAATGATGCAACGATGATGACGATTGTTCCTCAGGCGACTAACGCCTTGGGCGAGGTGGTGGCTGCTAAGGAGCCAGACGTGGTGTGCACGGAGTACCAGAACCAGTTCGCGTGGCCCAAGGACAGCACCGACTCGGTGCCGAGGAAGAGCATCTCCATGGGCGCGCTGAAGAAGGCGGCGGCTGCTGAAGGTCAGTAACAGTGATGATGACTAACTTCTATTCTTCGTCTATCAGGTAAATCATTGAAGATTATAGTTATAACGGGATTGTTACCATGTACCTTGTTTTTTATGAGTCTCCGATATTTCGGCACTGTTGCAAGCGCCATGATCACGGAGTAACTGTTATTCCGTGATCATGGCGCTGTGGACACGTATTTTTTTCTTTTTTACATAGTCAAATTATTACGGAGTAATATTGATTTGAAATGTAGCATGACGTCATGCCTTGGTACAATTTTTACTTAGACGTGACGGCAAGAGCCGCCACACTCAGACTTTGACATTTTTTGGTTGATTGACAAAAGATAATAGTGACCATTATTTTCTGATGATCTAACTGACGGACGGAATAGAATTTCGTTAACTCTACTCCATCATCGTTCTTAAGTCGCGTCAATGAAGACTAGTAATTACGAAAGTCCTCAAAAGTCCTGGTTGTGCGTTTTATTCAATTCAATTCATTTATTTCAGCCATTTAGCCATATAAACCACATAAAAAACAAGAATAATAATAATAAAAGCATACAAATTACAATCAAAAATAAAATAAATACAAAATTAGAAATGTCAACAACGAAATAATTCAAATAAATATAAAATTACAATGTCAACAAAAATAATTACAAATTAACATTAAAAATAATTATATTAGTAAGTTATTGCATTTCATTACATTTTACAAGTACAGTGGTCCAGTGATTATTTATAGGACACTCGTACCTACCCCCTACAACCTTCAAGATGCTATTGTGGCTGTCGTAAACTCTCTTCATTATTATGTATGAGTTTTCTTACATCAACAATGTTCGCATTTGGGTTTCGGATGGACAATATGCTCACTGGCGCCACCCGGTATTCGATCTGCGAACCTGTCCAGATGGCAGATATGTGGGTACCGCGAATATTCTTATGCGCGGGTACTCAAATAATAATAACGTTCGTTGGGTCGTCATCTTCAACGGCCTCTCTCTGCTGTTTCGCGTTTGGCACCGAACGTTCGTGTACACGCATATAAATTCGCATCGCTTAATTTCGCTGAAATCGCGTTGAAAATTCTTCAACTACATATCCAAAGGACGAAGGAAGGAGCTGCTTGTGCTCTGCCCATGCTTGCAAGACCAAAGAAGGTACAGGGAGACATCCAGCTGTGTCGTTGGTGGCATTGCGCCTTATCTGACTTTCACTTAATGCATTGTTGATGTTTCCTTGTGTATTCAAACAGCTCGTACTTAAGAAGAAGAAGTCATGTTAACATAAATAAAAAACAATCCAAAATAGGCCAACTAGGTCTCTGCGTCAGCTTAATACTACAGCAACACCAGGGCTGCTGCAGCGCTGATGATTCTGGCAGGGCCTAAGGTTGATGACACAGTTTTTTTTAAAACATTAGTGTATTGTTATTGCAAATACATATTGGGGGCAGCCGATATATGTAATTAAAACGATTGAAAAGGGGCTGCAACGAGATAACGATAAATGCACAACTACGAACGGGTTTGCTAAAAGCGTAATGTACTCACGTTTGAAACCTTTGTCGCAAGCTTGTGGTCCGCGTATTCTTCTAGCTAGAGGGGCACATTAACAGCACACACAGTCACAGAAGAAATTCACAGTTTATTGTTGACGAATTCCACTTGTTTGGTATACCGCACGTAAGTATAATGGTTATATGATGTTAGCGAGTGCGCGGGCGCGGAACGGAGTGACGTAGTTCCTCTCGCGTGATCAGTGGCTAACTGTCTGCGTTAGGCTAGTAAAAAACCACATTCGCAGATGCATCGTTCTCGTTGCGAACCTACCCACATTTAAAATAATAAATATGTAACCACGATTAAGTGATAACGGAACAATTAGTAATATACTAAAAGTAACAATCATACCAATGTACACATAAAATAAAATAACATAGGCTGAATGTTTTTACTATCCTTAGCCTTACAGAAAAGTACATTTTTTTAAAAGTGATGTTTCAACTGTGGGAGGACAGACTACAGACTGGAACCTCCGAAACAAAAGAAAAAAACACTAACATTATTAAAAAACACAAAGAAATAATTTTATGAATTGCAAAAATAATAATTAAATTAAATTACTTAATAATTCGCCCGTCGTATATATCGTCATCTCATTGTCAAACCCGCATCCTGTGGTTAGGCTATTTACACGCCAAACCAAGTCCTCCTTTTTTTAATAATTATTTTTATTGATTAACCAAACTATAGGTACATTTTTATACAGTAACCATCTTTAAGATTGATTATTACTTATTAACACTTACATTTGCGTTCCTGAACCAGCTAATGTTAGGCTTTCGCAAACTAATTTTAATTTTAAACCAGGGTAAACTGAATTATGGGGCCACGCTTTATCTGTCGCACTGCGGCCGTGTACCGTGGAGTTTTAGTTGGCTTAAAACCCATTTACATAATACTTATATCTTTAAAAAAAAGCAAGCCAACGCAACAAAAAAAGTTATAAAAACTTAGGTAATTACTTATTAATTTGTTAAAATATGTAAGTTCGAAGTTTCTGTGGTCCTTGTATCTTTTGTTCTGAGCCGCAATGCTGTTTTGACCCTTATAACGCACTACTTAGTACTCACTTTCCTACGTCTTACTCTGTACCCGTAGTACAAGTTTTACAATTACGAAAACTATGATAGTTTTCGTGAGCTCGCACTCATACTAAGGTTACTGATTTTATTGTTTTCGTTTTAATACAAATTTACAGTGTTTAAATTCTGTCATTAAATCATTTACGTCTTCTTAAATTTTAAGTATATTTGGTTAGTTTTTACCAAAATGGATATAGAAACATTTTACAATAGGGATGATGACTAATTGTTTTTTCTTCGTTTAGCAGGTAGATTATCAAAAAGTATTGGACACGTATTTTTTCTTTTTTCACATAATATAAACATTGCAGAGATAATATTGATTTGAAAAGTCGCATGACGTCACGTTTGAGTACACTTATAAGTGAAAATTCACTCAAAAGTGACGTCACGAGCCCCTACTCCCAAACTTTGACGCGCTATAACTTTGTCATTTTTTGGTTGATTGCCCAAAGAAAAAATACGTGTCCATTATTTTTTGATCATCTAACTGACGGACTAAATAGAATTTCGTTTACTGTACCCCGTCATCACCCCTATTACGAACACTATGATAGTTTTCGTGAGCTTAAACTCGTACTAAGGGTACTGGTCTTATATCATATACTTTTGTTGGGCTGTGTGGTGTCGTAGCAGTATTGTGGTAGCGAGCGAAAGTAAAATTGTGTTTTATAAGTACCCCCTGTTTAAGTGCATATACAAATTGTAATACTCATGTTAATTTCAATAAAGTATTTTATTATTATTATTATAATAACTTAGCATGGGCTCAATCAAATACCTAATAGGTATAAAAAAAGCGTTGAAATTTCAGTATAAAATCTCTTCATCGCGACACTGATGTTTGAGGAGGTTTTAATAGAACTACAGAATTATTTTTATGTATTAATATTTTCCTGAAACTTACAAACGAGAGAGATTGTCACAGCCATAGAGCAACAGCAAGAGAGTAACATTAGCGACATAATACTGTTACGTGTCAGGATGGGGTACGAAATTATATGCCAGTTCACGCTTGACAGTACTTTGTTCACCACACATTTAACACAAAATGTTAATCATAATACACTCTCTAAACACTGTACTTCACTATACAAGTCTTAAAACAATCTCACTTGAACAGTTTTCCGAAATCGATGTTGAAACTCAACTGTTATCACCTTGAAAGTAAACTATCCGGTGCGCGGCGCTGATCGCGCTTAGTGTCGCCGCACACGGGCCACACGCCACAGCCACAAACGCCGCCACGAGAAGCTAGAAGCGGCTACTAAAGTGGCTGAAGCGCGCGACAGCGGCTGACTAAGGTAAGGGAGAGAGGGTTGAGGAATCGCGCGAGTGACATGTGGCGGCATTTTGTATCGGCGCATTAAGTAGACGGTGCGGGCTACAAGAAGCGAGCAACGACGATTTGTAGCGTGTGGCGGCCACTGGCGTACCGTGTGTGGCGAGCCCATATAAAATGTATGAAAACTACAAGAAATATGCCGGTGGCAGCGTTTTGTGGTTGTGGTCGGTGGCCCGTGTGCGGCGACACTTATATACGCTAATCGACGCATTCTAAAAAAGTCCCGTTAAATTGAGAGTTAACTAGCACCCGGGAGCGCGTAGACCTGCTTATACGTAGGTAACGCGCACAAGTTCTAAACAAGTGCCGATATCGTTGCACTTTCTCACTTACGCCGCGCTGCATAAGGCTTATATTAGACTGAGCGACCCGCGGTGTTCTAGTAAAATCTGTCTCCAGTTTTTTCGCGGTTTTGTTTCGAGGGCGTTTCTGGCAACACTATTCAAATAATTGTGGCACTTTTTGCAGAGGAGAATATGAATATACACATAAATGCAGTTTAACAAATAACAGAACTGTAAATATGACACGCGCACACAAACAATGACACAATACATACCCCACCAAATTCTGCACACTTGAATTTGGTATGCCCAACTCTACAGATGGAAAAGCTGTGTATGCGTACTCCCATCCTGGCTGCGTCAGCCGTTTTGCTCTATGGGCACAGCGGATTTTCTAATCAGAGCGCCCATTTTTTTTTAAATTTATAAATAGACAAACTTTTGCTCGCGAGTGTATTTCCATTTATACAAATACAAATACAACAAATGCAAATATATTTAATAAAATTTACATCATACAGTCAGCTTATAACCATGGGTCCGACACTAGGAGGTCCTGTATCGTGGGCACCCAATAAATGTAAAAAATATTGCAACAGATGAAAAGTAAAATTACAGGATACAGAAACTAACTTTTTAACTACGTTATAAAGTAATAAAGTGTGTGTGCATGTGTGTGTGTGTTGGTGTGTGTGTGTGTGTGCTTATAGGACGTTGAGAGAAGG